CACAGACCCCTCGGCCCCGCAAGGATGGGGCGACTCGCACGCAGCGGAATTGAACTCTCCAGGCCCCTCCTCGCCCCTCCGCTGGATCCGCCTCCACCCTTCTCTCTCTCTCTATTCCCCCAATAGCTTCCATCCAAGTGCTGGTGGAGGGAGACACACACGCACGCACACGCACGCACGCACACACGCACTCAGAACGCAGCAGTCTGTCCCAGGAGTGACCGTGACTCCCAGGCTGCGCTGACCCTAGCCTGTCCCCCTGAGGTCAGAGAGGGCACCGCGGTCCCTGGCGCACACGGCCCTGCTTCTCTGCGTTCCGCGGGCCTCTCCTGCCAGTGGACAGCCGTGGCACTGATCGCATGGTTCGGACAGAAATGTGTGTCTACTTCCATACGAGTGCGTGTGTCAGTGTGTCAGCTCCTAAGTCTGAGACACAGCCGGGTCACCGAGAGCGAGGGTCGGGTGGCCCGGTACTGCTGTGACAGGCTTACATGCCTGCCCTCACGGGCGGAAGTGCGTGTCTCCCTGTGCTTCAGTCCATGTCCGTGAGTCTGTGCCTCTCTCTGGACTCCAGCGCCCTTCTTTCTCTCGGTGTCTCCGTCGCTCAGGCCCTCTGCGTCTTCTCCGCAGCACCCACAGCCCTGGCGAACGGCTCCTCCCTTCCAGTCGTGGAGGGCCAAGCTCTGCGCCTGCTCTGTGCGGTCGACAGCCACCCCCCTGCCAGGTTGAGCTGGTCCTGGGGGAACCTGACTCTGTGCCCCTCCGAGCCCTCGAACCCTGGGGTACTGGAGCTGACCCCAGAGCACCTCAGGGGTGAAGGAGAATTCACCTGCCGGGCCAGAACTCTCTGGGCTCCCATCAGGTCTCGCTGAGCCTGTCCCTGCAGGGTGAATATTGAGGGGCTGTTCCCAAGCCCAGGCCAGGAGGGACCTGCAGCTCCCAGGTCTCTGAGCAAACAGCCCCTGTGGCTCCGCAGTGGGGTAGGGTGCACTCTGCTCAGCCTCAAGACAGATGCATGATCCAAATGTACCTCTTGGGCTTGGGGCTCCAGGGCCTCTGAGTGTTCCTAGAGAGTCGGAGTATGGGGTGGGGAGGCCTGGGCTGATATGGTCTCACACTGAGGGATGAGGAGGGTCTAGGAGGTCCATGACAAGTGCTAATATGAGAGGAGGGACTGAGGTTGTAATTTAGCAGGAAAATCTAGCTGCACTCACTTTCCCACAGGGAAACCAGGATCCATGGCCGAGGTGGTGCTGGTGACCATTGTAGAGGTGGCTGTCAAGGTCCTGCTCCTTGGGCTCTGCCTCATCTTCCTCAGGTGAGCGCTGCCCAGGGGTGGAGAGGAGGTGTGGGGGGGGGCAGCCTGACCCCACTGAACCCCAGACTCCCACTGCTGGGAGATGCAAAGAGTTCAAAGGGACCTGGAGCCAGGCAGGGGCTGAGTGAGTGGTGAGGATTCACAGGGGCTGATGTCTCCCCAGCTCTGGCCTGATGTGGGTAGGGAGCCTGTCCCATGGAGGAGGTCTGGGGGCTGCACCTCCTCTCTCTCAGTCACCCCCTCCAGCCCTTAATGGGCACAGGTGAGGTGACCACTGCCCTCTGCACCCCCAGTGCCCACACTGAGAGGCCCTGCTCTCTTCACGCAGGGTGAACTTGAAAAGGAAAAAGGCACCCGGGCCTGCAGCGAAGATGCACACTGTCATGGCTTAGCTCTCAGGTGAGCGACACAGCTGTTCAGCATCCCAGTGCCCCTGGAGTCCTCCTCCGGGAGGTTTCCAGGATGCCTGGCTCAGCATGGCCGCAGGCGAGCTGACCATCATCGTCCTGAGCCCAGTTCCTTTTGGCCAGGGTCCCCATGTCCCCATGACTCAGTGGCCCCTTCTCTAAGCCAGGAGCGGCATGTGGTTCTCCCCTGTGAACAGTCTGCATCTTCTCCATCCCATAAGTGACTTACTGGTCCTTCTTCCCTGCCGAGCCCTGCTCACCTTGATTCCCTTCTCCATCCTGGTCATTCCCAGCCCTCATCTCTTCCCTGGCCACTGAATCCACCTCACTCACTCCTGCCTCGTCGCTCCCAACACCAGCCTCCGGCGTGTGTGTGCAGACAGTCAGAGTCCACTTGCTCCACATTGCTCTCCGTGGAAAGAGACGAGTAGATGCCGTTCCTGGACCAAGCCTTGCACGACCTGTGTCCTGCTGGACTCTGCTCCAGTGCCTCCTCTCCATGCTGGATGAAGCTGTCACCACAGCCACTGGCCAGGCCCTCTGGGACCTGAGACTGCGTGTGCAATTCCTGTCCCTTCCACTTTTTGCCCACCCAAGGGCTGGTCACCCTTCAGGCTCGGTCTACAGTGTCAGTTAGGAGTGTGTGCCTATGTGTGTGCAATCCTTGGGTACGACTCTCGGTGGAGGAATTCTCCACCACTTATGAACTACTTTGGTGACTAATGCTGGGCTCTTGCCATAAGCTGATGTTTTCATGGTGCCAGGGATGCCTCAG